AATTCACCTTGAGGTTTATTGTTATAGGTTTGAGGGCAATAGTCAAGGAAAATATTAAACACTCAAGTAGTCTTCTCATTTTCAACAACTTGACCACATTTGAAAAAAACACCAAAATACAAACCACAATTAATTACAACACTCTCAATTATTATTTTGTCACATGTAAGACACATGGAAATACTGTACTTCCGCCATCCAGATAAACTGGGCTAAGACGTCACCAAAAGTAAAACACAGGGGTTCAGTTCAGGCTACTTTCAAAACAGAATCAATAAAACATATCATTAGACTACACACAATATAAAAATTACTTGCTCACCAATCAAGAGCTGGTATCAGCAACAAATATTTCTTTTAGAGAATCAAACGTAGGGGTTTTTTTTAATTAATCATGATGCAGTTCCACTGATAAAACATGATAGATACAAGTTCAAGACTTCAAGCCTTACCTTTAAAGTTAAATCCTTAGCAAACATCAAGAAATTTCTTCATGGTTACTAAAATAATTATGGTACATAATATTTTGTCTATTTAACTAGTCCACTCCAAATCTTCTGTTTATGACCCTTGAATGTGCCACAATCCCTTAACACCATTTCAGCAGACATCTTTAAACAGTCACAACTATCTCAAATTTTCACATTCTGAGAGTCTGCTATGTAAATCTAAACATATCCCAGTGAAAAAATTCAGGTGCCCATTTCTATAGTTCCTGCAATTTTCTTTGATTCAATGGGGCAGCCACACACACTGTCGCTTTCTCTAAGAAATGACATTTTATTCTAAATTGTGGAAATAGACATCTACTACTGATCTTTTGAATATACTATTTTATTAAGAAATTAAAGACACTGAAGCTATCATTAAATGGCAACAAAGTTTTGAAATAAGAAGAGTAAAGTCACCTGTCAAAGATTTACCCACCAAAACCTTCATAATCAAACTGAATAAAGAAACTTTATCTATCTGCCAAAATGGCACTGCTTTTGGCAATATAAGTTTTTACCTTGTGCCACCTAGTTTAAATGGCAGATGTAAAAGGGAAAAAAATGAAATAATGCGATTCACTAAGCCAGAAAACTGCTTTTAAGTAAATTACTTGGGGAAAGAATAGAAGTAATATTTTCATAATTTATGCTATTAGCATTGCCTTGCACATATATTGTAGCTGATGTTAATATTAATTCCAGAGTTAGATAATCCTCCCTTAGCTAATTAAGTTCAGTGGTGAACTTATTAACCAACATTTCCCTGACCATTTAGTTAAAGTATTTTGAATGACAGCCTATTAGATGTTAGGAGACTTTTTAATGTACTACAGTTTGCAAAATTAAATTAATGCAGTATCTTCCATTTATACAGATTCCTCACTAAGAACTCCCAATTCATTATGAATGCTTAAATTATAGCATAACCATAATAATTTCTATTCAGAAGTAATAACTCCTGTATGGACTTATTTTGTATGGTACTGGGCATCCTTAATCCCCTTTCATGTGAGAAAAGAAATAGAAATCAAACATTGCAAAAGTACTCAGAACCTCCCAGGATTACTCTACAGATTCGTTTTCAAATCCATGCCTCACACTGAAGAAAGGATTAAGACTTTAAACATTTTTTTTTAATTGTTATGTTATGAAAAATGTCTTTAATTGACTTATTGTTATGTAGACATAGCTCATGCACTTCTGTAACACAGAACTGCCTGGGCTCTCCCAGTTTCTATGCAGTATTTCTTAAGAGCTTGTTTTACTCTTGAAAATATAGCAAGAAACCAGAAGATAACATGAAACCTCATTATATCAAAATACAAAAGTCATACACGTTTTTATATCAATATATTTATATACATCTCTATATGTACCATACATATATACACACACCTATGATTGATCACCTCTTTGCAAGCTTATCCCATCTGTCACTCATTAAAGGAATTATTGATTAAACTTTAATTAAAGTTTTCTATGTCATTCCTACTTCAGAATTAAACCACTTTTGACAATACTTCTCTTGCTGTTACTTTTCAGTTTCATCAACTCAATACTTAAAAATACACAGAGTACTGAACAGAATCCCTGAAATACAAATTCTATCTTGTTATTCATACTAAATTACTGTCTTTCTCAGCAGACTTGTGTCATCTGTCAAGCTTTTGAAATATACAAATTCATTTTTCTGTCTGTTAAAAAAAAGGCATGTTCTTTAAATCCTGGTATTTACTTGTGCATTCCACACAGAACTAGAAAGAAGATATTTCAGTGATCAAAATGTTAGTGCTTACAAGACGACAGCAGCAGTTTCAGTTCAGGGAAATCTTCAAATTTTTTTCTATTACACTGAATTCTGCACTTCTAACAATGTTTGAAACACAAAGCTTACAGTGAATTCTATTCAGCTGTTTACCAGAAATATCCAGTCACTGAAACAAAAATGAGCTGCTCAATATCTGAATGAATACAGTGTTAAGTTCTTGCATTTCTAGGAAGTTGTTTTTTACAACCATAAGAAATAAAATGGGCAATTTGCTTTTTAATTTGCATCTCAAGACATGGATTTAAATTACGTATGGGTCGACAGAATACATAGCAAAACAATCAAGGAATTCAAAATTATCTAATCCATTTTTCAGACAGTGAGGAAAAATTGAAGTCAACATCACATAAAAATGAAAAGAGGAGATTTGAACACCACAACATAATTCCTTTTGTGTTCATATTGCACAATGCACTTCAAATACAAAATTCATAGCAAAAAAGTCTATTATGGGAAAACTCAGCCTGTATGACATATATCCTCAATGGAGTTCAAGGACCAGTGAATGCAAGAATACTTCCATTTATATCAGGAATTCAAATCCTACTGATGATACATTACAAGGCTCAGTTATTTATGTGTTTATCACTCAGCGGCCTTTTGACTTCAAAAGATATAACAAAAATCCAACAAATAAAACGAAGTACTCTGCTTGCTTAGAATTTATCTAAATGAAACCTGCATTTGTAAGCTAGGTACTTAAATGTAGGAAGTACTCAATTTGATAGCTGTCTGTATATGCACATGCAGTGCATCCGTACATGGAAATACATTATTTTTTCTTTATCCAGAGTTTAGGGCATAACCATAAGGAGACAGAATTTTAATTATATAAGAAATTCTAAGTTTGCCACATTAAGCTTTCAGAGGCTGATAATGCAAGCTTAATAACAAACCTTTAAAGATACTGGCACTGTTTCATTCTGCATGCTTTATACTAGGTGAGAACATAAAGATCAACAACCATAATACCCATATATACACACACAAATTAAGATGAGTTACAAATGAACATTCTACAACAATACTAGAGTAGATATAGAGGGAAGGAACACATCTCCTATGACGAAACACTGAGAGCATCATGGCTGTTCAGCCTAGACAAAGGAAGCCTCCAAGGAGACCCCAATGGAGCCTTTTAGTACTTAGAGGGAACTAAGAAAGATGGGGACAAACATTTTAGCAGGGCCTGTTGCAATAGGACAAGAAGTAATGGCTTTTAATTGGAAGACGGTAGGTTCAGACTAGACATAAGGAAGACATTTTTTACAATGAAGCTAGTGAAATGCTGAAACAGGTTGCCAAGAGTGGTGGTAGACATGAAACACTCAAGATCAGGATGTCTGAGCAACCTGATCCAGTTGAAGATGTTCCTGCTCATTGCAGGAGGGTGGGACTAGATGACCTTCAAAGGCTCCTTTCAACCCATACCCTTCTATAATAAAAGAGAGATCATGGCATGAAAAGAAGCAGAAGGAATATTTAACTTTCCTTTTACCTAGCAATTGCTGCCCACAAACACTGCAGTTGATTACTTCACTTCAAGCCCTTTTATGTCCTGCTTGAACTGGTAGATGTCCTTGATCCCTCCCTGACAACACGTATGGCCAGTCTGTGCTTTCTTCAGAAGGATCCAACCACATTTTAATGCGTCGACCAGATGCTACAGTGTGCAATTAGTTTTGTATTGTGGTTATGTGTTTTTAACTTTTTTACTTACATGCACTGTCTCAGAGGATAATCAAAAACAAGGATAAAAAAAATGTATCACCCCAGGGTCCCTACCACCCTAAAACCCACCCTCCCTTACACTCAAACATCATATGAACAGGGTATCAAGATAAAGCCATTCTTCATTTTCATCCCTGGCTGGCATGGGTGAAAGTCAAACAGACTTGATGGGATCTTTCTACTTTGGGTCACCTTATTACTCTGAAGACTGCCCTACCTGAATTTATGTTTCCCCAGAATTCTTCCCAGCAGAAGGAAAATTAGGAGTTCTATCTACTGCCTTCACCTTCCGGTAGGGAAGTGACCACCACTGTGTTCCTAAACACACAACTTCAAACACAAATGAGTGAAGTGATGTGGCACATTTGGCTTAAGAGAAATCAAACAATCATTTTAACAACACTTCATACAAGCGACTATGAAATCACTATGGATACAGCCAGGGCAAATTGTTTACTGTGAGACTCTTTGGAGCCCATTTCCAGATACTAATGACCTTTCTGTCCATCCAGTAACATCTGCAAACCAGGGAGGCTGCCCACACCATTAAAGCAAATTGCCTCTCAAGTAATGATCCTTCTCTTACTGATTTTTCTTTTTAGTGTCTCTTTCCCTAGATTAGTGGGTTTTGGTCTTCAACTGAAAGTCATCTACTGTAGGATACTATATAACAATTTTTAAACTACTGCTAAATAACCTTCCCTTCCAGAGTCTCTAGTAAAAATCCATGAGAGTGCACACACCAAAGATTAACAAATAATAGGACTCTGAATATGCTCCTAGATGTACAAGGCAGCTTTGAAAGTAACCTTAGTATTAGAAAAAAATAAATATATACATACACTCAGTCTTCTCTTTGCATCCCTTCTGTGCCACACCAAAGAGGCCCCCATGAGTAGACCATGCTCATCTCTACAGAAAAGACAGCAAGAAAAATCCCTTCCACTTACTTGGTGTTAATTCTGGATTTCCTTTTAAGTTCATCATCTTTGGAATTGAAGGTCCATATATGTCTGCATCAAGTAAACCAACTTCTTTTGCCTGAGAAAGTAAAAGTGAAAAAGAAAAGCAAAAAGAAAGTAATTTTCAAAATGTCCTCATTTCTGTATCATTAGCAGAACAAAATTCAATACTGTTTAAAGAAATAAAAATAAAATCTTGATTTGAGACATCAGTTATCACTGTTTCCTTTCTCTCTAAATAGCAACTGAAGAATGAAATACAACGTCTACAAGTTGGGTCAGTTGCCTTGACAAGAGCTAGATTCTCCACACAGATTTCTTACTTGTACAGTTTCTTACTTACATTGCAGACCACAGACTTTATATTAACCAGCAATGTAACCAACATTCTCTCTATTCCATGTACTTTTGTATAAAAAAAGTAACACCTGAATGTTTTAAACAAGGTATCAAATTTTATTGTTACAAAAAAAAGAAAAAAGAAAAAAAAAACCCACCAAACAAAAAAAAACAGGAGGTTCGTAAGTATATGCAAATTAATGCAAATTAAATCATACCAGTGATTACAAAGAATGTGAAAAACATAAAAAACATATTTTTGTCTTCCATTTAAGTGGCAGAGTACACTCTGAAGACATCTTGAAGTTACTGAAATGCAAGTTTCTGAAGCTAGTTAAGAAGGCATAGCATTTTAATCAAATACATTTACACAAAAGTATGCTAAAAATGAGTTTATTCAACTACATATGGTACATTCGGCAATAAACTTTAAATAAAAATATTTCAGCTACGTAGTCTAGACTTATAAAACTCCTTTCTATATTCTTTTTTTAATAGATACACATACATATTTTGTGGAAAATAAACTATTTTTCTACAGATGGCAAGACATAGTACCAATTACTAAGTTCTGCAAATTAAGTAGTAAAGAGCACGCCCTTTAAAGTGCTGAATGTCAAGTTTCTCTAATATAGAAAGCTAACTGTATTCAACACTTTGCAAAATTGCAAACAAGTATATTTAAGAGCTTGTTTGAAAGGTTAAAGCAGCAAGAGGAGCTTTTCCAACAATGCCAAATCAGACTGCCACTGTCAGTGTTTCAATATGTGTACTTCATTTTTTGGGTGATGCTTTCCTAACTTGGTATCTTATATTAAGCCATTTTGTTATCACACTTTTGATGGGAAAGAGAAAAATAAGTTTAAAAAAGCATTATCATATTTGAACTAGTATGTACTTTAAAAAATAAGTTTTTACTGAAGAAACCAAATTTGGATTTGGTTCTTTGATATACATTTTGTTAGTAAAACAGAGCAAAGCACATATAATTATACGGATTATTTAATGTGGATTATTCAATGTGGATTATTTAATGTAGATTTTTTTAACACTTTTTCTTTATGATGCCTTGTGAGAACTATTAGACAAAAGTTCAGGAGTTACTGTAACAAATTCTTCTTCTTGCCTTGTTGAAAGCTGCAATTTCAAAAACATTTAAAAGACCCATATTTATGTTAGACTCTAAAGACACCAGTAAAACAAACCAGTAAAATTTCTTTGTTCTCGTACAAAATGCATATTTTAACAGATTAGAAACATTCATGACTCAGTCCCTTTATCTGTGTCTGCAGCTAATCAAACTTATCAAAACATCATCTACAGGCTGTTCCACCTAATTCCTTCCCAAATGAAAGCAAGTAATTACTAAAAAACCTGATGGCATACTTCCCCTGAATTTCTTGAGGATCTTCCCCCTCATGCAAGGAAGATCAGTTGATTGACTGACTATTGATTGACTACAATGACTTCACAACTCAAGAGTTTCACTTTCAGACCAAAGGAACTAAAGATTTAAGATGACCTAAATTAATTAGAATGACTTCATGACCTCCTGGACATATAATCAGGTATTCACCACTACAGGCCACTGATTCTTGGGGGTCAGCAGCACTGCATCAACTGTATTGATATTATCCAACCTAAGTGTCCAAGATTTCCTGAACTAAAGAATAAATAGATCCACACTGGAGAAGAACATCCTAGAGGACTGTCAGCTGTTACATTAAATTACCAAGCTAATACAATAAACCTGACCATTTATCTAAAAGACTTACACACTTCTTCAAAAGTAAGAAAAGTGCCTGTTTCTGACATGCACTGCTTTTCATGGATATGGTTCAATAAAATTGTTGTCTTCAAACAGAAGAATAATTAACAGAGTCTCAAGGTTCTACGATTCATGTTAACAAAAGCACAAGTATTCCTGTAAGCCTAGTGCTTTCTACAGGATTATAGGAAAAAAGTGTTTCAGAAATCTTTCTATCACTGACAGAACCTCACTTGAGATAGCCTAAGGCAGGGTTTTTTTCTTTATCAAGCAATTCAACATGTTAGGCAAGTAGAGTTCACACTGCCTAGAAGTAGCAGCTTACACAGAGAGCATCAGCTCAATAAGCTATGGTTTTCTTTCTCTCAAATATCCCTGCTTTTGCAGCATGTAAACATCTCTAGAATGCCAATAACCCTTTACTCAAGGTTTAATTATCTCAGAAAAGTATTATGGCAGCTACCAAGGGATTTTTTAAGACATGCACAGTACAGTCCAGATCATTTCTTCCAGCATTTACAATGTTTTAAATCCCCAAGAGAAGAAATAATATGCACACACCTGGATGCTACCACATGACACTGTTAATCAAAATTACCAGATACTTCTCATGCTGAGTGAAATATAATCCAGATGCATGAGTTGCAGTAATTAAAAAATTAAATTAGATTTTAATAAATCATTTTTTTCTCCCCATACAACCTAACCTCATATAACACAGCACATCTTTCAAAGCATTGTACTAAATCAAATCCTAAGAAAACATACATAACATCACACAAGCTAAAGAAAAACATCTGGGCAGAAGGAACAGACTATGGAGAATCAAAAGCACAACCTAAAAAGGCAACTTAGGAAAAACAGAGGAGGGAAAAAAGCTCTAAGATTGCTCTTATGTCTTCTGACTATTTTGATATACATGTACTTCTCATACCAATGGGGCATCTTTTTTTTCTTAATACTCATTAACACAGAAATGCAGTACTTAAAGCGCACCCAAGCACATAGAAATCCCCCTGCTACTAAGTGTTTTTCAGAGTGCAGCACACGCCACTGCCACAGCCTCCCTTGGCACTCTGGCAGGAAAAGGACCCAGAAAACACAACTCCACCGTCTCTTTATGGCTGTTTTTTCTCCTTATAAACATATTTCTCTCCTGTACTATTAAACAAACAGCATTCCATCTCTCCAGATGGCATAGCAATAACCAAGTTCAATACAGCTGTTCTCAAGTTAACATTTGTCCTTTTCCTTTCACCTGCCCAGCTGTGAAAGAAAGTTTGAATCAATCTTCAAGTTTACTGCACTTGGAAAATATTTTCTAGAGACCTTATTTTTGGCTGCCTCACTGCAAGTTCTGCAGCTTAAGCTCTAAAGATGCAAGCGACAATGTAACCATCCCCATATGATTTAATCACGGTCACTGGAAGTTAACTTCGAAAAATATAAAACTCATGCAGTATCACTGACCTCTACATACAGTAGAAGATCCTTATCAAAATTCCATCAGGCAGAGACCATGAAATTAGAAATAAATATACTGTCAGCACATGAAAAAACGAAAGTACTATGTCAGCAAAAGCGCTACTTAAAACTTTGCAAATGTTCACATTTACCTTCTTATCAAGGCTTTTAAGGCTCCCTCACTGTAGGTAAACAGCCTATAGAACTAACTGGGCTAAGAACTAGCCTAACTACTGCTAGGATTTGCCATTTCTGCAGTACTGGTACTGTCATGGTCTCATCTGATCACTGATGACCTCAAGAACACAAAACAATGTTACAGAATAAAAAACTATAACTCCTCTTGATCTGATTTTACATCACTGACTAAGTAATTCTTTCTACTTCATTCTCATTAATCTTCTCAGCAAAGTTTTATTTGCCCATTAGACTGCTCTAAAAATTTCTGACAAACATTCTTTGTGATATACTCTAAGTTACATAATCACTGCAGCTCTTAACTCATTAAAAATACAGTGAAGTTTTCATTCTAATTTAGAAACTTCTCTCACCCACATGAAGAATCAAAAACTAGTTTTCACAGTCACCAGGTACAGATTCTCGATCTATAAGAAAACCAAAGGCTACATGAATAGACAAAGAAGATATTCTTACAGATATCCCTGATACGTACAAATTACAGGCACAGATAACCTCACTGGAAAGATCCTTTCCTTTACCTTCTCTGGCAAGATTCTCTACATAATGAAATTTCAGTTTAGTCCTTGAATCTGGCCACTGCCTTGTGAGTAATAGAGATCTGGAGGACAGCAGTACTCTAAATTAATGATTTTCAAGCTCTGAACTCAAGTATAATTCTTTCGGGGGAAAAAGCTAAAATGAAGTTGTTGAAGGCCAAAGTCCTGGTAGACAGAGGTCATGTAAAAAAGCCAATAAATTTTGCCTCCTCTTCTTTTCCTTATGCAGATTAGAAAGTATTGGTTTGCTATTATGTTTGTTCTCTTAGGCAGGCAAATGTTACTGTACATAGTCCTTGTTCAGATGGCATAAATTAATGCTAATGACAAATGATCCATATCTTTCCTCCTCTTAGCTCTTTGAGCAGATCCTTAAGAACTGCTTCATCCCTCCCTACACTTTATTTATGTAGGGTCCCTTTTCTGCTTTTCAGGGAATATTGACTACAAAATCAATTCGATTTTCCAGTAACAAATTTTCAACCAAATGCAACCAGTTTCATTAATATATCACAAAGGACCCCTCCACACAATTCTGTGTGCAGCGAAGAATCCGGTGATATTACTTTTTTCTAAGTTGCCAAATGATTTACTGGGGAGCAGACCTGATTAAAGACTCCATACCAACAGAGAAAAAATGAAGAAAAAAAGAACAATAAAAAGAAGAGTTCACAAAAAGCTTCTCTAAATAGCTGTTAACACAGCCTATATTAGTGCTAAACATCCAAAGATTCTTTGACATCATTAATTTCATTTTTGCTCATATTTTCT